TTTTCTTCAACTCTCAGCCTCTGCCTTCTAAAGGCAGAAAGAGGGCCACCATCAGTAATCCCAGCAAGGCCATCATGTGAACCACAAAATAAGATTTTGTTCAAGAGAACAATGAGCAGCATTTAAAAACAAACAAACAAAATAAATCTCCCCTATCTGAAGGGAAAGGACAAGATTAAATCAAGGGACCAGATCAAAACCAAGGGTCTTTCAGAGAGAGAAGCCTGCTCTCAGGAGCCTCAGGCAGGCAGTGGGGGAGGGAGGGACCAGTTCTGCTAGCCTCGGGCTTCTCTACAAAATATAAAAGCAAACAAATAAACATAACCAAAACTAGCCAGACTCTTAAAAAGAAAGACCAGTAAGAGTTGCCAAAGTCAAGGCTTGGGCCTGGGTTCCTTCACTCTAGACAAGAAGTCCCCAATAAGATTCCTCTCCACTGGTTGAAAGTTAAGTTTGGTGGCTAGCAAGTGCCTTCATTCACCTCAGATCTTCCTGTTCCCACACACCTCCCCCTCCATCCAGGATGCCTCCAGCTATGGGGGCAAATGACAACCCTGTCTTAACCTTGGTTACTCCTTAGTCTTTTGCACAGGGCTATGGGACTACCTCAGCCCCCTGAAATAGGTGAGGGACATTAGCCACATGCCAAGAAAGAAGTCAGGGCCTTCAGGGCCTCAAAGCTCCCAGGCAGTGAGGTCCTGAGTGCTGGGGAGCGGAGCCAGACTGCAGTCTAGACCACCTGCCTCCAGGAACGCCTCTTATCAGCTCAGAAATAAGTGCTCCGCGGGACCAGCACAGCGGTCTCTAGAGCAGGCTCTTGAATACATCAAGTTCCTTCCCACACCCGTGCTGGAGCTGGAGCACCTGCTTCAGCGTTACCTGTCCGAAACTCTCCCCAGTGACACATCAGAAAACAGGCTTCTCTGTTTCCTTTTCTTCATATCCACGTCAGGGTCACCAACTGAGGGGCTGGGGATTAAGTGCTTGCCAGGCAAGTATGAGGACTGGCGTAGGAGCCCCTAGCACTCACATTAAATGCAAACTCTCTGTAATACCAGCGCTGAGAAGACGGAGACAAGAGATTCCCACAGCAACACCCTACCTCGGTAAATAAAGTGGACAATGATAGTGGAAAGGTACCTGATATCAACTCTGGCCTTCATGAGCACACACACACACACCTCACATGCCTATATATATGTATGTATATTCATACACATACATACGTATATAAACTGCAGATAGGGCTCAGCTGGGACAATGATTGCCTAATGTGCACAAGGCCCTGGGTTCAATCCCCAGCACAGCACAAACCAGAGGTGGAGGTGGAAAAAGATGTTTAAGCTGTGGAGACAGAAGTTGAAGCTGCTTTCGGTCACAAGGTGAGTTTGAAGCTAGCCTAAAGTACATGAAATCCTCAAAAAACAAACACACAAAATTCTGTGGCAAGCTCACTGTAAAGCCACCTACAGAAGAGCTACATCTAGCCTGTTGTGACCGCCACCATACACCTGCTTCACAGAGAGTTCACAAGGCTTGAAGAACCCAGGGCCCAGTGGCTGTGAACCCTCTATTCCAGGATGAGCTTCCACCCCGTAGTCCAGGGTAGACTCTGTCCGCTGTCATTTTTTTTATACAACCCAATAGATACTTCTGAAACATGGGAGCTTTTCATCCCTTTAGGCACTCACACCATCGGGCTGGTCTAGTTGTCATTTCGTAAGCTAGGAGCAGAGCCACACGAGTGACCTGAGTCATCAGCCGCTGTTTACTCGGCTCTGAGAGGTAGATCTTTTGTTGTTGACATTTGTTTGTGCGAGGAATGAAACTCAGGCTAAATGAGCAATACGTTACTGAGTGACATCCTAGCCTTTCGGGTTCTGCTTTATTGATGAGACGAGGTCTAGGCTGGTGACCTCACTTGTCCACAGCCACACTCAGGAGTTGGCTGGGCAAAGCCTGGGCTAGGACTGACTGTTGATCTTTCTACTGTTAGGACAAAGTCTTCTTTGGGAACTGATCACTTCAGATGTCTCTGCTTCAAGGGGCCATAGATGTGCCTTGAACACTATGGCTGCCAACAGCTGACTGGCTAGAGGAACGTCAGGTTGCAGAGTGGGCCACAGTGCAAGGCAAGACCAGGCCAACCCAAATGAGGCGTTTGGAACCAGGGTTAGAAGCGGGCTCTCCTTCTCTGACAGGGAGAGAAGCCAAGTCTTTCTAGGAAGCAGGCCAAGACTCTGGGACAATGAAAATGAGTGGCGTACAGGTGCAGAGGAGGTCTGAACAGGCACCTGGTGGGCTCAGAGGCCCAGATCCTTAGGCACCGCACTTGCCGACTGTCTCTATTCCTCCTGCTGCAGCCATCCAGCTGCCGCCTCTAGGCACAGCCTCTGCCCCTGCTGCCCCCGGGGCAGAACTCACTGTTCTTCTCCTTGCACCAAACTCAAGCTCCCCAAGCGTGTTTCTGACTGTGCCCAGGTTCTTCTGCACAGGACAGCTATAATAATGTATAGCTTTCCACATCCATGAATTGAGTCCAGGATTTGAGAAGTACAGGCTCAATAAGTAAGGCACACAGTGTTCTTTGACGACTGTGCAAGGCAGGAGGGACCCTGGAGTTCACAGGAAGAGATTTAAAAAGATGGCAGACACCAGGGATATTGGTTTCTGATTTCCTTTCTACAGCACATAGGTGCAGGCAGGGCACAAAGTCCACTGGTCTTGTCCCCTCCAAGGAGAAGAGACAGCATTACCAGGGCCCGTGAGCCCCTGGTAAGAGAATATGTGCTAACACAGGATGTGTGGACTTCCCTGGCTGCACAAGAAATAAGTCCCCACAGAGACAGAGCAGGTATAGAGGTGTGATGCCATTTTCCCCCTTTTCATGTATGTGTGCATGCATGTGGAGGCCCAAGGCCAATGTTGAGAATCATCCTCAATTGCTCTTCCACTTTATTCACCAAAGCAGAGCTTTGCAATCAAACTCAGAGTACATTGGCATGGTTGGTCTCACCAGCCAGCTTGCTCTGGGGAATCCCATCCCTTCTGCATTCAGAGGCTACAAATCAGCTGCCACCCACACCTGGTATTTATGTGGGTTCTGGGATCCAAGCTTCATTCTCACTATTGGACATCAAGCATTTTAACTACTAAGCCATCTCCCCAAACTACATTTGTATTTTATTAGAACCACTACAAGGAAATGCTGGGGCTAGATATGGGAATCTTCTTCCCACCAAACTGCAGTGGGCAGAAGTCAGACAGCTCCTACTCAGCTAAGGAGAAAAGATGCCCTCCAGGCCTAGAAACTCCCAACTTAGGTTCTCCTGCCTTGTCTACAGAGGCACAATTCCATTTTCACAAGAACAATATAGATAGGAAAGGTTAAAAGACAGAACCCACCTCTGGTCCCCTTTGCCTTCCTTTGACTCTAAGAGGTAAGTAATCAAGGTAGACGGGCCAAAAAGCATAGACAGAGAGGTGAGTGTCTGGACATGGAGGACCTAGGTTCAAGCCCAGCCTGAGAAAGAGAAAAAGAGAGACACAAATCCAGTGGATGCAGGCCATGTCTGTGAATTATTCATCTTTGCACTGAGGCCCTGCTCAGAGCCCAGTTCGGAACCATGGAGACGCTGCTCAATGAATGTTTGATGAGCTCTTGCTGAAGATGAAAATGCACACGTGGGGCTCATTTTGCACTGACCAGAAGATTCCCAAGAAAAGTGCAAACACTCGCATGGGGCATGGGAGACGGCTGTTCGTGCCTACAGCAAATCTAAGACAGAAGTTCTGGGGGACCATCAGGAAATGACCAAAGACACAGAAAGAAGAGTAGGGAGAAGGAGAGAGAGCAGAAGGCAAGGCTGGAGGGCTTGGTGCCAGCAGATCCTGGCTAGGGCTGACCACCACCTAAGCAGGCTTTCTGAGCCTCAGGACAGCAGCAGGACTGACCACAGGCCAGTGGCAGGGCTGACCTGAGAACTAAATGAGATAATATTCCAATGGGTTTGTGAACTGCAAAAATTACATTGTTTTTAGTCACAGAATCTCACTATGGTACCCAGGCTGGCCTCAAAACTTTGGGTTCAAGTGATCCTCTTGCTTCAGCCTACTGAGTAGCTGGGGCTCTGGGCACGTGCCACTAAGTTACTTTTTAAAAATTTATCTGTTTTGTGTTCATTGGTGTTTTGCCTGCATGTATGTCTGTGTGAGGGTGTCAGACACCCTGGAACTAGAGCTACAGTTAGGTGTGAGCAGCCATGTGGGTGCTAGGAATTAAACCCGGGACCTTTGGAAGAGCAGTCAGTACTCTTGACCACTGAGCCGTCTCTCCAGACCCATACTAAGTGATTTTTACTAGAACAAGTGAGGCCAGGGTCTGACTACAGAAGGACCAACTGACAAGTGTTCCATCCTTCCAGGGAAGAAGTGAGCACTTCTGAGGTGTTTCCTCAGAAACAGAAAATTTTTCACTAGATTATACTCAATCTGGCTTCCTTGGCTTCTGGACTCACTCCCCTTCCATCCCAGGTCAAGACATCACAGATATCCTCGGACCTGGGTCAAACCTCACTTTGTTTGGTCATATTTCCCCCACCCCACCCCCTCAGCTTTCAGAAAGAAGGCAAGGCCCCTAAGGGCAAAGCTACTTGCAAAACAGCCTAGAGAGGGATTCCTGCTCCTGAAGCTCCCTTTGAAGATCTCCACATTGCCCAAGGCCTTTTTCCAACCTGGTCTCAGACAGTTTAAAAAGGAAAAAAAAAGAAGACAGAAGAAAAGAAGAGAAGGGGGAGGAGGAGGAGGCTGGGGGATGCCAAAGAAAACACCACTGCTTCCCTAGCTCTCTTCCAACTCTGTCTCCAGGGAGTGTGTTTTGTGCCCCCAAAAATCTTATTTAGGAAGACAGTAAACCTTGATGCTGTGGCATCAAATGAGCTTGCTTCAATTTACTTAGTTTCCTTCATTTCTCTAGCTGTTGCATTCCTTTTGCTTGTCTCTTAGCTTCCCATTGTGGCCATCAGCTGCTCGCTGCTGACCACAAGTTTTCTCCTCCACGGAGTGGGGGTGGAGGTAAAGATGGGGGTATCTCCACCGGCTGACACTATGCATGGGACACACCCCATGACCCCAGGACTGTATCTGCAGCCTACACAGAGTCCCACCTTACCTTTCCTATCGCGGGGCGATTAACATCCCAGAGACCAGACTCGCAATCAATGAAAATGACACAGAAAACAGTGAGGTGGGCAGCGAATTGCAAGTCGGGCTTTCGCATGCAGGAGCAAGACATTCAGGTATCTGATGGCTTAGGTCTGAGGACAGACATTTGGAAGAAACCAGGTCAGGGAAACACACGAAGAACTTCCCAAACAAGGATGAAATATGTCTGATTTCTTAAGTAAACTAGAAAGTTCAAGGCTGTTGTTCGATCGAGCTTCCACACAAGAAAACCTATTTATCTCATGAGATGGAATAAGCAGGTCAAATCTCTCACATTCATCGACTTACTTTTTAGGACGTGTTTTGAGGAGAGCCTGGGAAGGGAAAGGGCCTTTTACATTCACCTATAGAGTCATGCACAGACTAGCACCACAAAACAGTGAAAAGACCTCCACCTACGAGCTGGGACACTTCTCACTGGGAAACCAAGGTCTTTGGTGTGGAAAGGTCCAAGCTACGACACTGGAAGAGTGAAAATCTTAGACCCACCTAAACTGTGATTAGCATCACCAGTCCCATGCTTAAGCAAGGTTCACAATCAAGGGAAGTAGGATTTAGATACTGTGAATACGGCCAGTCAAGCCTCAGTCTTGAGGAAGATTCTATCCTGTTCACCAAAGTCTCCAGTTCATTGATTAGTTTAGAATATGGCTACCTCGGCTGATCTCAAAGAGAAGAAAAGAGGTGGAAGTTACGAATTGAAACTAACAAACTTGCACAACAAAAGCCCACAAATAGGTCAGCACCCTGAACTTTCAGTGGAATGTGGGTTCTGAGTTTATCCCTCTTCTGGCTCTTCCCACTCATCTTTCCCAAGTTCTCTCCAACCTTGATCTTTTCCTCTGCCTTCAGCTCACCACCAGCGCCAAAAATGTCCCATCTTCCTCCTTGACACTGCTTGTCCTCTTACCCACCCAACCAAACAATCCTTGCCATTTGGGGGCGGGGCCAAGCATGGCGTGGGGGTTCTATGAAATTGCTGAGCTACACATTAGGTGTGCATAAGAAGGGCAGTCTTGGTTCCAGAGAGGTCCCTGAGATTCCAACGACCTCCAGGAGTGCAAGAAGGAAAGGCGATCCTGACAGGATTTAAAAACAGAGGGCTATTGAGTTGAATGTCCGAGAGTAACCCCAGAGGCAGATGGACCTGTTGCTAAGCCAGTCTTGGTGCTACCAAATTTACCTTCTAGACATCCTCTGGACTTGGACTTTGCAAACACCAATCCATTCGCCTTCCATCAATTACCCACTTGGTTTCCCAGAAGGCTGGCACTTGGAGTGAGTCGGGATAATCCTCGGGAGCGTGGGAACCTGAGCTACTAGGCAGTCTCTGTCGGGCAGCCATTGTGGACTTTTTCAGACAGGAGTCCAAGCAGGAGCGAGTCCTGGCTGGGAACCAGCTTTCCTTCTCCGCCCCCTGGTCTGGCAGGAGAGACCCACATATGGCTGCCCGCTCTCAGACGCCTCTCTGAGCGCCCAAGGGTGGCCATTTTCCACATGGGGAGCGCCAAAACACGAAGGCCGGATCGCCCCCTTGAGAGAGTCCCTGGCTCCGGCTGGACCGGCGCGCGGTATGCACTTGTGAACATGCAGCGGGCACAGTTTGCCACTGATGGAACTTCCACAGAGGTGCTAAGGCCGGGGGTTCAAAAGACTTGGCCCAAGTATGCCCAGCTGGCCCAGAGAAGGACGAGTCCGGGCGCGAGATGAGAGCAGTAGGTACACTTTCTTGCCCTCCTGGATGTCCTGCGCTCCATTCACAACTGGAGATCTGTTTGGCACCCAGGGACCCCGAGTTCCTGACACCGGCCTGCAGTGGACAAGGGTGGCTGGCACCCACATACCCTTACCGTAGCATCTTCTCCTGAATAGTGTCCGATGACTCTGTGGCCCCCCGGGTGCCGCTGGGACCATTTTGTGACATTGTAGACCTTGCGGTCGATGACGAGCCACCGGTCGGTGCGCAGGTTGTGCTTCTGAATCTCCTCCCAGCGGAAGGTGGGCATCGGAGTCTTGCACTCCGTGCTCCCCTCACCCTGGTTACCTCCCTTCCCCATGCTAACTGTCCGCCCTGATGCCCCGTGCGCTAGGGTCTCAGAGCGCCCGCGGCTTGCGGCGCAAACTGTCCCTCTCCCGGCCACAGTGTGCGGTCGGCGCCCTCCTCGCTTTCGGCTTTTGTCTTCTACTCCTCCTCCCACCGCGCCTCCTCCCCTCGCCTTCGCTCCTCCTCGCCTTCACTGGCTAGCCAGTATCCCTGCCTTCCCTCTGGAGTACCCCTAGCTTCTCAGTGCCCCCAAGCGGTCCCCTTTCTCCGCCTCACGCTCGGCCTGCCTGTTGTGGACTTTTCCCTCTGGTGAAAACTCCACGGTAGCTCAGGGCCTCGACGCCTCCTCCCCCCCTCCCCCAGCCCTCAAGCACCCCTCCCCACGCCCCGGGCTCTGCATCCTCCAGAGTTCCCCGCCACCCGGGTTTCCACAGTGATCAGCAGAGCGCCTGCACCAATCAGAGCTCGTCGCCCCGCCTGCCATTGGCCCAGGAGGATCTTTCGAAGGCCAGCGGGCTGGAGCCGCGGGTCCCAGGCTCCCCCTCCCTTACGCCCGCCCGCGTGGAGGCAAGCCCTGCTGGGAGGCCGGCGACGTGTCCGACCTCCTCCCTTCGCTGGCTAGAGCGGGGAAAGCCGGAATAGATCTCAGTGGGGCCAGGAGGGCGAGCAGGGGCGGAGGCTGGGCTTTTCTTTGCGCGCTTCAAAGCGCGGGCGCACAGAGCCCGCGCTCCGGGGATTTGCACCTGATGCCAGCACAAAGAAGGCACAAAGGCTGTGGTGAGCAGCGCACGGCCTCCCGATGGACTGTTAGGTGAAGTCCCTCTGGCTAGCTTTGGAACATTGTCTGCGCGATCCACATTGTTACTCCCTAGAGAAAGGAGCCTGAAGAGGGTCTCTATTTAACCAGGGCTCTGAATCTTTTCATTAGACCATTTTAGAAAAGAACCATGGAGCCACTGCTTTCTTCCTCGTGCTAAATGCGGCGGGGATGGCCACTGGGGAGGATGCCAGGATGAACTGGACACCGTTCTTGTCTTGGACTGAGGAAGAGCACACAGCCTGGTTGGAAAACATGAAAACAGTAAAAGCTCACGATTGATTTGGCAGTAGCGTACCGACTGCAGGAGGGGAAGACACTGATACCAAAGGAGTAGGGAGAGGAGCCCTATTCACTAAAGCTTCACCACAATCCTATGAGATTGTTATAGCTAACTTCAAAATGAAGAGCCCGAGGTTAAGAAAGGTAAAAGGGTCAAAACACACATGGTTAGCCCTGCTTTACCCTTTCCAGCCTACGGGATCTGGAAATACTGGTGCAGAGGTTGATGCCATTTCCACAGACCCTTCCACAGCATCCTCTTCTCATCTGGTGCTGGCGTCCATCAGGAGCATCCTTTCTTTACTCCACAAACTTCAGACTCAAGGAGTGTGAGGCTTGCTCAGCTTAGAGGAGGGTCCAAACAAAAGGCCTGCATAAAAGATAAGAGAGAATGAAGTAGGTGTGGTGGTCCAACAGTCAGAAGCCTGAGGCAAGACATTATCAGGAGTTCAAGGCTGGCCTGGGCTGCAAGGCAAGCTCTTGCAATGGGAGGGAGGCATAAATATTAATAGGAAGCAAGACTGGCTTTTATGCTTGTTAAAAATTTAGTGTAATAGAGTCAAGAAAACTTTTTTTTCTAAAGATGGATTACCACAATATGCAGATAACTTTAATGAAAATTTTTTAATAATTGTGAAGCTCCGCAGGATGAATGAGAGTTGAACGGGAGCCCCAGTAACCTTCGAAGACTGAAGAGAGAACAAGTGAGAAGACCCAGAGAATGAGTCACAGTACACTCCAAATGAAGGCAGAAGAAAGGGATACAGGGCTCAGGGAATACAGGGCTGACAGTGGGGAGAGTTCAAGTTGGGAGCATACCCATTTGCCTATGGATAGACCAGGACTGAAGGCTTCACGGTGGGGGCTGTGAAGAGTGTTAGAAATTCACCAGTCAAGGGTGTGCTCACGTCGACCAGATCTGTGGTATGCAAAAAGAATGTCAAGGCTTGGGGCTGTAGCTCAGCCGGAAGAATATTCATCTAACATGCTTTAGGCCCTGACTGAGATTTCCAACACGGTGGCACACACTTGTAATTGTGGCCTTCAAGAGGTAAAGGTGGAATAATCCAAAGTTTAAGTTTATCCTTGCGACAGACTGAGTTCAAGGCCAACTCTTTGAGGCCATTTGAAAAACGGGAGGGAGGAAAGGAGGGCTGAAAAGATGACTCAGGGGTTAAGCACATGTGCTGTTTTCAGAGGGGCCCAAGTTTGATTTCAAGCACCCATGTTAGCTGGTTGGAGGTGTACCTATTATTTCTTCCACCTCCAGGAGATTCAACACCTTCTTCTGGCATCCTTGGGTACCTGTACGCACATGCACACACCCACGCATAATTAAAGTAGTTTTTTTGTTGAGAGAGAGAGAGAGAGAGAGAGAGAGAGAGAGAGAGAAGGAAGGAAAGAAAGAAAATCCAGAGGCGGCTTGGGCCTGGAAAGGGATGCAGGCAAATCAAGAGTCAAGGAAAACAACGGTAAGCTAAACGATCTTGTGGGAGAGGTCAGGAGGTCTGGATGAGGCAATGGCTGTAGGAGGCTGGTCCCACACCGGATGTGGCCTGACACTCTCTTCTCTACCTGATTGCTTCTTCTGCTAAGATAGGCTGGTGAAGCTGTTTATTTAGAGGTACCAGGATACCTTACAGTATCCAGCCCACTCTAGAACTACCTAGGAGAAGGGGCTATCTCAGATACAGAGAAGCAGTTCCTTTGGCTTCTGTCTGTGCCTCCGATTCTGGCACCCTGCACTCCCACCAGCACCAAGAAACGCAGCTTGCTGGGACCCCACCAGGGTATCATTGTGATTATTGATCTTTATCAGGAACAAGAGATCAGCTTGGGTGGCAGGGATTCCAGACTCTTACAGCATGCCAAATGGGTAAAAGACCAGGCCAAATCCTCACGTGTGAAGAGACATGTCCTGTAGGGATGGTGCTCTCACATATGGTGCTCCCTGAGTTGGGGAAAACAGTTTTTCATCTTGCCCTTCTTGGAGACTTTGGTAGCTGCTGAACATGGCTGCTCCATAGCCTGAAGAGTCTAGTTACTCAGGGGGTCAGTGAAAATGGATCACAGTGTTCAAACACCCTACACTTAGTAGGGTGTCAAGAGGGAATGAAAGATACAGGTACCTTGTGAGTAAAACCAGAAAAGAGAAAACTCAGAAGAGAGAGCGAACATTCTCGTGTCTTCCATCTCTTCTTTTCATTGTTGGCCAATACGGCCATCTTTAAAATCGTCTCTCAAGTTGCCTCCTTCTCACATCCTCGCCTCCAACTCTAAAAGCTAATTTATTACCAGACTTTCACCATAGTCAGCCCTTCTTGCTTCATTTCCTATCACCCATTCATTTCTCAGGTCATTGCGCACTTTCCAGTTCTAAAACACGTTGGTCAGCTTCCCATGAGAGAAACAAGCACTGTCAAATCAATCTAAACATAGAAATGGTTTGTTTGCACTCACAGTTTTAAAGGCTTCAAGTCATGGTCAGTTGATCTCCCTACTTTGGACCTGTGGTTTAACAACATGTTAGAACAAGTGCAAGAAAGAGATAAAGGTTAGGAAGGGTTCCAGGCTAAGAGATAGCTCAGCCCATAAAGTGCCTGTCACACAAGTATGACGACATGAGTTCCGATCCCTAGCACTCACTCGCAGAGAAGCTGGGTGTAATGGTGCATGTATACAACCCTACTTCTGGGGGTGGGAGCAGAGACAGGGAGACCTCCAAAGCTGGCTGGCCAGCAAGTCTAGCCAATTGGTGAGCTATGGGTTCAGGGAAAAACTCTGTCTCAAAAGATAAACTGGAGAGCCATAGTAAAGGATACTTAGTGTTAATTATCTCTGGTCTCCACATGTGCATGCTCACACACACGCACACACGCACACATGCACACACACACGTGTGTGTGCATCTACACACATGCACACACACATTACACACATACATAGAAAAGGTTAGGATCCCAGTATTTCCTTCAAGGGCACAACTCCAATATGAAGATGCCACTATTAGGCCCCACCTATAAAGGGGTCTCATTGCCTTCCAATAGTGCCACATTAGACTTTGAGTTTGAGGTCAGCCTGGACTGCAAGAATTTATCTCAATGCTCGGTATAGTAACACATACCTTAATCCCAGGACTCAGGAGACGGAGACTGGCAGATCTCTGTGAGCTGACAGATGATATACTCAGAGTATTCTGGGAGAAAGTGACTTTTTAATGTAAATTGTAGTAGTAATGCTCCCCTCCCCTGCAACAAAAAGACAAACTTCTTAGACTGAAGATTGCCACGGTACCACCAAAAGATACTATGCAAGCTTCCAAGGGAAGACGCAATTAGTAGTCCTACCCAACTGCTATACCCATGAACTGAATCAATGAACAGCGTAGCAAGATATCCATAAAGGGACAATAGTGGCACTCACATCTTGGTGGAAACCAACAGTATTCTAATTGGACTTAAGGCCCACTCGACATGAGGGAAATCATGTCTGGTTCTAGAAACCTAGCCAACTAGCGCTCGTGAGGTCGTGGACCTTAGGAAAGGATCAACCACTGCCACTTTGCTAGACCAATCTAATTCCTTACTACATTCTCAGTGTTATCCCTATACCCCCAGAGAAGTGTAGCCACCACCCCTCACCAAAGAAGCCTCTCTTTATCACAGAAAACCACAAGTCGACA